GGGCGGACGCTGAGCGGAGATCGGAGCCGGTGCAGCGGGGCTCATCCCGCCCTGGGCTATGGGGCACCCTCCTCCCGCCGGGGCGCCCACACTCACACGTGGCCGTCACGCTCTCAGACCCAGCCGCTCCGATGCAGGCGGCGGCTGCCAGAGGCGAGCGAAGCTCTCAGAGCTCCCCGGGCCCCGCCCCTTCCCCTTGCCGGGCAGGCGGGGCCGGCGGCCACTCCCCCACCTGGCAGCGCAGCCAGCTGCAAATGGTAGGTGGTGGTGGGCCCGGGTGCTCCAGTCCCCTCTCGCTCTGCGTCCTCCCTGCCCGCTCATTGGCCCTCCTCGGCCCAGGGCCAGGCTAAACCCTGGGCTGTGCCAGCCACCCCCTTCCCATTCAGCTGCTGCGCACGCTCTAACCCACCCCTAGCTCCGGCTAGTCCTCCAATCCTAGTCTGGCCAGGCCGAGCCCCAGGCTGGTTTAAAGCACTTAGAGCAGAAGCGGAGGGGGGCTCGGAGAACCGCTTGGTTGGGAACCAGTGTTCAGGAGGGCTTCTGATACAGTACTATGGTGACAGGCATCGTATATGGCCACAATCGGAGAAGGGTAGGCTTGTTAAGGAAGAGGTTGGGTTCTGCTTCCTCCACTCCCCGGGCCCCGGGAATCCTGCCTGATCTTGGGAAAGGCAGTGAAGAAGAGATCTGTGTAAACTCAAAGGCTTGTCTCTCTCCTCAACAGAAGTTGGTCTAATCAAAGATGTTATCTCACCCACCTTGCCCTTAGGAAAGTCACCTCTCCCTGTAGTGGTTTGGCTCCGGCTCCCCATCTGTAAAACAGGGACTGTACTGCTCTTCTGTCTTACTGAGGTGTGATGGGGCATTTAGATACTATAGTGGTAGGAGTCAAAGAGAAATATAGAGGGAGATGGAACTAAAACAGAGTAAGGTAGGTACCCAGTTGATCTTTTCTCAGTGGCCGTTCAGCATTTCTGTCGGTCGAATGTAGATTACATACTGAGGAGCAGGAGGTGTGTGGAAATGTGCAACTCAACCACAGGGACTGAATTTGTTCCAGCAGAGCCTTAAGTGCCATTCACATTGAACCATCAACTCTACTATGGGAACCAGCTCCTTTGTACCCAAGTTTATCAGAAGGCCCCTGGATGACTAATGATATTTTGAGAAATCAAACAAGGCAGGGCAGAAAATCCACATTTAAATACCACACTTTTATGAAAGATACCAAAACACTCTGATTGAAATGAATGGGAGCGGTAGGGGCTCAAAATCACAGTTTGGGTTACATGGGTTCTCCACTCTTCGGAAAAGCAGGCCCTGTATTTATCTGAGATCATGAAGAAAAGGGGCCAAACTGTGCCAAAAATAAGAATATGTGAATGACAATCCCTGCATCCAAGGAAAGAACACACAGTCTTAATTGTCACCAAAAAGGCATATGGAGAAATGTAGGTTTATTAATACTAGTATTTATTCCCTTAGATTGTAAACTCTTGAGGGCAGAAACTATCTTTGTTCTAGGCTTGGGCAGCACTTAGCACAATGAGGTCCTGATCCACAGATGGGGCTCCTAGATCCTACCACAATACAATAAATAATAGTAACGCAAAACCTGAAAACCCTAGAATTTACTTCCCCAGGAGTTCACCTTAGATTCAAGGGTATTGTTCTTTAGCTCCAGTCATCTGCCATGATGCTGTGGGGAGAGGAGACTCCCATTAACTGGAGAAACTGCAAGAACATGGCTAGGATGAGTGACGTTTGACAGGGTTTTATTTCATGTGACTTTTTAAAATTATGTATTGCCTTCAGCCATCCTGCCTTGGCCTCTGACACTGGTGGAGCTCATAAGCAAAGAAGGTTTAGGCCTGCTGAGTACATGACAAGAAAGCCCACAGGCTGCAAGAGGAGCTCAAGATTTAAAGTGGTGTTCTTCCCCTCTTCAGTCATATACCAATAGAGGTCCAACATGGTTTTAGTGAGCTGTACATTACCTTTTTTAGGTGACACACAAAACTCCTTAGCATTTGGAATTAGATCCTATGGACTTTCTGTAAAGAGTACAGGTGGATTAAAGGCCGCAAGCTGGTTCTAGCCCAAAGTGGGTAATCATATTCTACCTACTTAAATACAATTGCACCTCTATTAATGGTTGGAAAAGTTATTCTTCCCTTCCTAAAAGAAAAGCTGAGACAGGGTGCTGCTGCAGAATGACTGCTGCAGTCCACCCAAGCTCTAGTCACATTGCAGTAATGATAGCAGTAACTAAACCAGCGGTTAGGGGTCTATTATAGGAGTGGATGGGTAAGATTCTGTGGCCTGCAACGTGCAGGAGGTCAGACTAGATGATCATGATGGTCCCTTCTGACCTTAAATTCTATAAGTCTATGAGAGTGCTCAAGATTTGTGGCCAATCTACAATATTTAGTTAAAACTCCTCAAATGCATTTTCTGTAAAAACAGCCACTAAAAATCCAGAGAGGCGGTAGTTAAATCAAGATACGAAACCCTTAACTCACACCTTATCACCTAAATCCAGTGAAACCTCTGCTCCATAACAAACTCCCTTTCAGGCAACTAGCCAGCACGTGAAGAAGTAGATATGTGCAATCTCACAATACATAACCTGAGCTCTGTGTCTAACCTCATACTTTTTCCATGTGTAAATACATTATAGACTTTAGCCCTACTTTTATGCCTACAGGTAATATATCTTAATCCAGCACTGAGGTCAAAATTCATCTTGTGCATTTGAGCTTGGCAATGAGGAACTGGATGTGTGCATTGTGGTTGGTAATATTCTAACTTTGAACAGGAGTCTGCTGTGAAGTTGGGGAGTCTTTGGGTTTTATGTCTGAGTGATAAGGTGCATAAATTAACAATGGCATTAATATTAACGGTAGCTTATCTGGCAACTTCCCAGACTGTTAATTGCAATTAATTGCTGCAGAAATCTTTAGCAGCAGTACAGAGAATGCTTGAAGTGCCAGTCTCTTGGCACAAAGATGCCATTCCTCACAGCAATGCTGCCTCTGCTCTCTCAGTTCACAAGAGGAATGAGCAAAAGCAGGCAGGAGAGGGAGGGATGACAGTGGAGCATTAGCATTTGCCTACATTCTCAACCTAACCGATCTGCATGTGCTCAACAAGAATATTTCCTGTGCTGTGAGCCGTAGCAGCAGAAAAATTGGATTCTCCTTCAACACAGCCCAGTGCTGCCCTAGCGCCTCACACCATCACTACTATTTGAGCACTGCACTCAGACCATAGCCTGGCCTGGTGTATGAGGACCAAAGGATCAGTGGGGCTATGTAACTGGAGAGCCCTCCTGCTATGGCTTAGCACTCAGGGATTTCCCTTTCCAAGCAAGCCCTTGCAGGTATATGGGCTTAAAGTAAGGAAAATAATAATCGCCCCTCTTTTCTCTTCCCATACTTTACCTTCCTGTCCCCCCACATACCTGTTCACTTCCCCATTGCCTCCGCTGACAAGCCTGCCTCCTAAGTTCCCAGGGGCAAGGATGGGAAGGTGTCATTCCTGAGGCAGGCTGATCAGCACCAGCAAACAGCAGTAGCTGGCACTATAAAGCTCTGCGACCTACTTAAAAACAAACAAACAAACAAAACCAGCTACCTTATCAGGGTCAGAGGTAGGAAGTGTACAGTATAAATGCTGTAACAAGAGTTGGGGATTTAAATCCAGATGTGTCTACAAAGGGTGGAAAAACTGGCAAAATAGCGGATAGCTATTAGGGCTGTCGATTAATCCCAGTTAACTCACACAATTAACTAAAAAAAAAAGTAATCGCAATTAATCACTGTTTTAATCACACAGTTAAATTTATTAAATATTTCTGGAGGTTTTTCTACGTTTTCAAATATATCAATTTCAATTACAACACAGAATACAACGTCTAAAGTGATCACTTATTTTTTATTACAAATATTTACACTGTAAAAATAGTATTTTTCAATTCACCTTATACAAGTATTGTAGTGTGAGTTTTATGATGAAAGTACAATTTACAAATGTAGATTTCCTGTTACATAACTGCACTCAAAAACAAAAATGTAAAACTTTAGAGCCTACAAGCCCACTCAGTCCTACTTCTTGTTCAGCCAATCGCTAAGACAAACAAGTTTGTTTACCTTTATGGGAGATAATGCTACCCACTTCTTAATTACAATGTCACCTGAAAGTGAGACCAGGCATTCGCATGGCACTCTTGTAGCCCGTGTCGCAAACTATTTACATGCCAGATGCGCTAAACATTCATATGCCTTTTCATGCTTCGGCCATCATTCCAGGGGACGTTTCCATGCTGACAACGCTCGTTAAAAAATAATGGGTTAATTAAATTTGTGACTGAACTCCTTGGGGGAGAATTGTATGTCTCCTGCTCTGTTTTACCTGCATTCTGCCATATATTTCATGTTATAGCAGTCTCGGATGACGACTCAGCACATGCTGTTCATTTTAAGAACACTTTTACTGCAGATTTGACAAAACACAAAGAAGGTACCAATGTGAAATTTCTAAAGATAGCTACAGCACTCAACTCAAGGTTTAAGAATCTGAAGTGCCTTCCAAAATCTGAGAGGGACGAGGCGTAGAGAATCCTTTCAGAAGTTTTAAGAGCGTGACACTCTGATGCGGAAACTACAGAACCCAAACCACCAAAAAAGAAAATCAACCTTCTGTTGGTGGCATCTGACTCAGATGATGAAAATAAACATGCATCGGTCTGCATTGCTTTGGATTGTTATCGAGCAGAACCCGTCATCAGCATGGACGCATGTCCTCTGGAATGGTGGTTGAAGCATGAAAGGACATATGCATCTTTAGCGCATCTGGCACGTAAATATCTTGCAATACCAGCTACAACAGTGCCATGCAAACGCTTGTTCTCACTTTCAGGTGACATTGTAAACAAGAAGCGGGCAGCATTATCTTCTGCAAATGTAAATAAGCTTGTTTGAGTGATTGGCTGAACAAGGAGAACAGATTAGACTGGTAGGATCTAAAGTTTTACATTGTATTCAAAAACAAAACAGATTTTTTGTACATAATTCTACATTTGTAAGTTGCACTTTCATGATAAAGAGATTGCACTACAGATCTTATATTAGGTGAATTAAAAATACTATTTTTTTTACAGTGCAAATATTTGTAATAAAAAATATAAAGTGAGCACTGTACATCTTGTATTGTTGTAATTGAAATATTTGAAAATGTAGAAAACATCCAAAAATATTTAAACAAATGATGTTCTATAATTTAGTAGCGCGATTTAATCACGATTTTTTAAATTACTTGACAGCCCTAATAACTATACATCTAAATGGAGGTTAAATCATTCAATGCAAGATTAGTGGGACAGATTAGTGCTTGAACCCCAACTAGCTAGGTTTTAACCCTATGCTTCTCTAGTAGAGAAGGTAAAGCAGTCGAATGGAGTGGGGAGATATAGGTCGGTACCATTAGTGTGACAAGAAATATTGTTAAATGAGACTGCCTACTACAATGGGCAAGATGCCAAGATGTACAGGACCTCTAAAAGTAAAGAAAATGCATGAGTTCTCTTAATCTTCTCAAACCTCTCCTGATATTCAAGTTGTAGCTACAGCATAGTTACAACTGAATCTACCATATTGAATCCTCAAGGGCATGGAAGAAAAAAGGAACACCATCATAGATAAGAGATTTAGAGTACTTCCCTTGTGGGTTTTTTCCCTTTGGGGATGTGTGTGTGGGTGTGTGTACTTTGAGAAAGGGACCTTCAGAGACTTGAGGGGGAAGTGTCTTACCACAACCCATTTAGCTACAGAATACCATTTAAATGGAGCTGAGGTAACTTGAGTCTGAATAGCTATTGTACTCCCTAATGTTCTACAAATCTGAACAGTACAAATATGTAAACAGGTGGTTTTTATGTGGATGGAATTTATGTGCCAATACTCTTCCAAAGTCGTAAGTGCAGTGCTGCAGGGCAACATCAAAAATCCCTCCCGCACTCAGGCTCTACCTTGCCTTGACAGGCTTGCCAAGAGTAATCCTGCTCTTCATAATTTTGTCAGATGCTCCCCTAGATATCAGATTAGTTCAATCCCTTGTACAGCAAACAGGCCATTACAAGAGTTATAAAGCTACAGTAGGATGGACTGCCTTTTTCATCCCCAGCCAACCTGCTTTCAGGATCATAAAGTAATTTGACTATTACTATTCACTGTGAGCAAATTTTCAGAATGTGGCCTCCATTGGTGTGTTCAACATTACACACATACTTACACATTTAATTTTCATGCACTACCACCGATACCTGTGTGTAGTGTAAGTTTTATTAGCTGTGCATACAGCTGATAATGTACAAAACCAGCAAACTGACATGCAAATAGGAGCCTGGTTGAGCCCTGTTGGAAAGCAGGCCCTACTTTTACAAGTTTTAGATTATTAGCAAAATAAAGGTGCATAGGTCTGTTAGTAAGCTGTGGGGGAAGTGGGGTGAGGAAGGCCATCCAAGCTTGGATAGTTTTCCAACAAACTACTGAGCCTTAAAATAGGAACTTTTGAATTTATTTCCAGACACTGGTAAAAATGTTCAGAAGTGCCTAAGTAACTTGGGCACAGAGCTTAAGTTTCTTTCACTGAGAAATAGGCGCCTCTAAGCCCCAGTCAACTAGGCACTTTTGAAAAATTTACCTTATTCTATTGATCACACCAGAGGAGATGGGGGGTAAAGAAGAAATGGGGGGAAAAAGACATATTTGTTAAGATCTTTTGTGTGACAATTATAAAATAGGGGGAACCATCTACCTACTACCATTATGAAAAATGCTTAGTCATGTTTATGCATATCCCCAGATACATACAGTTTGAGGCAAAGGATTCAAACTCCATGCACAAACATTTGTCATGAGAGGTCACAGCATTAGGCTAGCTGTCCAGTATAAGTAACTTCACTGCAATGTATCCGACAGAATATGATTTGGGGAAGAATTACATTACACCTAAGCATTTTGGCAAGCTAGCATAGGTGTGAAACGTAAGAAAAAAACCCCACTATTCATTTGTCAGATTAGCTTCCTTATAACCCTCTCTCCACTGACTGATCCCCACCCTTCCAAAACTGTTGAGCTCTATCTTACAGTCAGATGCAGAGCTGTGGCTTTTGTGATGAGAGATTAAATATTATTGAAATTTCCAGGGACTGACTTACAGGTGTACATAGTGCTCTCAGCATCTCCTACGCAAGCACCATTAACAAGTCAGATAGGAACCTTACACTAGTACCCAGGGCAGAATCTTTTGTGTATTAGCAATCAACAGAAGAAGTCACTGCAACAGATGTTGTTCATATACTATGTTTTCGACGCTTACCATACTCAATGACTCTCAGCAAATTAAATAAGGATATTTATAGGTCCATTTCTTCATCTCCCCCCACATGAAAATGTACAGGCATGCACCTACCAGAATGGACATCAAGCAACAGAACCAGTGTCCTCTACTACAAAGTGAGTACTCTAGCAGAGTTTTTTCATTTTCTTAGTGAAAGGAATTATTTAAATATTTGAACCACTTAATTTCATAAGAGTCAACAAGTCACACAGAGTCCAAATTCTGGACATTACTATAATGAGGTGGCGATTCTACTACCACAATTTTCTGTTGCCACAAGTGTGACAAAGATAACAGACCACAAGGAACTGATAAAATTTTTTTTATTATTCACTTTTGAATTCTTTTACACTCTCCTGATTATTTTGTGTAAGGTGAAACTAGAACCGTTTAAAAGACATACACAAATCTAGTACATCAATAACCAGGTATTTCTTTTTTGCTATACTATTCTCACAACCACGTGTGTGCTAGCAATATAACCATCACAGAAGCAAACTTTAGGCAGAATACTGGTCAGTAAAAACAAAGCGAAAAGAGCTACCAGATATACAGACAGGCTCGGTTCCACATTCATCACTACTGCATTTATCAAGCGCCAAGTATTAACTGCACTATTTGTTCAGCTAGTAGAGGGGAGTTTTAAAATCAGTGCATGAAATTCTCTCTCCAGCAGACAGATGGACAGACAAACAGATGGATTCTACAGCTAGGTGAAATGGTAGAGGGATGATACTGTGAGACTGATAGATGAATATTCCTAATCTTTTCCACTGCATTATTCATGCAACTCTTATTAGGTCTTATTTGACTGGACCTGATTGGGAACACAACTAAATGAGGATATTTGGAGTTCTAATATCACAAGTTCCTAACAAGCATTATAAATGTGTAAAATCTGCATTCCAGTAAGAAATAATGGGAAATCTTGAAAATTTTAGGTAATACCAGGAACTGGCTTAAAGTGGCAGACATTAAGAGCTGAAGACTACAGCAGCACTGACAACTCTCAAACATCTGAGTGAGAGACCTGTCCACTAGCACACATCTCTCTCCATCACCCTATTACTTATAATCCACAAATAATGGAACACATGTAGGAGTCCAGAAATGTTTTAATGAAGTTTAAAAGCAGGTGAGAGGGTGAGGATGAACATCAACTCAATGGGAGGAAGATTTCTATAAAGTGAATTCAAAGATGGCAGAGTGGAATATTAGAAATTTTTCCAGATCGAGTTTGGAGTGGGAATACCCAAAGAGATTTTAATTCTCCTAAGTGAAATGCAATCTTTGTATTATTTTACTCTTAACAGTATTATCCAAAAACTAATAAGGCCATTCATACAATATTAGTCTTTTCCTGTTGCAAGTTGACAGCAGTGCACTAAGAAATCTCACTACTAAAGAACAGTCCAAGTTGTAATGAAGTAATTTATTGC